AACAAGCAGTGAACTCCAACACAATGTGTTGATAAGGCGCGTCATTAACTCGCACATATCAACCCCTTTAGTTTTCATTTACAGAGATTTCAAAAAACGCAAGCAGCACAACAAGAGAATTCACGATCCAACACTGCAAGGTCAACGACGCACCTTTACGAGACCGTGTATTGTGAGTCTAGAAAGCTATTCGAACAAATTTAAGTTTTTTGATCCGCCTCAAGCAAAATCTTATCAGATTCTTGAAGAAAAGTGCTACGGAAAAATTTAAGCGAAGAAAGGAAAAATTCTGTCGAATTCCTAGAAGATAAAGTCGATTAAAAGGTATTTTGGGGCTAAAATACCCAAATCACCGGTATTATAAATCCCGTTATATTATTGAAAAGAAATTGACTCGATATTAATGCAATTGTATTAAATACTAGCCGCTCTGGACGCGCTTTGCGCGTCCGTCACGGCCAGCCATGGGGCTGCGCCCCCTGGACCCTCGATCACTCGCTACGCGAGTGACATTCTGCTCGCTCCGCGAGCCATTTTTCTCAGTGATTGGACATTTGATCACTAAGATGTATACATTTTGGAGACTCTGGAGGCAAAAATTATTTCGTCACAGAACCTTGTCGCCGGAGCGTGCCATCATTTGCACATGAATAGATGTGTGGAGATGAAGCGATGATGGGGATCGATTAATTCTTCAAAACGCATTTGACTGGGACGTCATCCCATCGGGTGGCGGAAAAAGACAATCCACGGATCTCCTTCCGCGATTTGACTTGCTGAAGTAGAAAAAGTTCATCTTTACCTCTTAAGAAGATTATCGGTGGCGTAGGGGTCTAAAAACTGCTCAACGATAGCATAGTTCGAGTTCCGAATCGCCGTGAGTCCACTCGTGTTTTTTCTAATACTTTCATCGCATATAAATTTCTCTGATGTTTTTGTTTTAGTCTCTCTGATTGCATATTGCGGTAATCATATCCTCATTCCTTCATGTCCTTTCCCTCTCCTTTTCCCCTTTCTGTAGCATCTGTGTCCATTTACAATTATTATTTTTAAATAGCTTTCCCCTATGATTATTTTTAAATAGCTTTCCCCTAGTATACAATTGATGCTTCAAACGGAATCAATTGTTTTAATGACATTTCCGGCGAAATCATGGGTTTTCCCAGGAAGGCAGCCTCTCGTCCCTCCCGGACTCTATTGTTGCCAGATAAGTTGCTTTTTTAGCATCTTTCCCAATTCAAATCCATGTAAAATATTCACATTTATCGCACAATCTGGCAACCTCTCGAGTGAAATAGAAAAAGGTAGAATCGCTGAAAGTCTGAATCCTTCGAAGTTTATATTAATGATGATGATGTCTTGATTTTGTTATTTTAAACGTCTTTTCATGCAAAGAAGCTCAACCATGTCCATGCTTTATTCATTCATGAATTGAAAGTAAGCAAATTGAAAGTAAGCAATCCACATCCTGAAAATCTACCGATTTGCCGTAAAAAATCGCAGAAACTTGATATACCAGGTCGATGTACCCACTCTTTGAATTTACCAATCAATTTAGTGAGTGCACGTATGTGAAAGTCAAAATGCTATAGTCATTTTGGGTGCATTCATTTTTCATGAAACAATTGTAAGTAATTTCAATCCCGAAATACCATAAATTTTCCGTATAAAATCGAAAAAATCAAAATATGTCGACTCCCTGACGTGAAAATTAAATTCTACGTGTGAAAATACTTCTGTATCGATATGCTGAACAGAATGCCCGCCTCTCCTCGTAATTTACAAACCGTTCCTATACTCATCTCAAAATTTTTCTCAGAGCTTTGTGTTATTATCAGCTTCCATTTAAACCCCGGTTGTTGGCCGAATCGGCTGCCCAAAAAGCAAGCCATTTTTGAAGGGCTCTATGAGAAATTCGTGATATTATCAGCTCTCAGGAAATCACCCCATGGGTAAAATTTCTGATATAAATTTTCGAGTGCTTAAAATAATCGTATTCAAGAAACTAAGGCATTAAACTATGGAGTCAATTTCGTTTTAATAATATAACGGGATTTACTTGTCTTCAGGTCAAAACTCATACAAGGAAGCCCCTTGCAAGAGGCTAATTTTTTGTAATTTCACTCAATTTTTTCTCCTTTTTATAATTGAATTGCTTGTCACATTCTGAGGTCAATCATATTAAATTGTAATTTATACATTTTTTCCCCCTTCATTTTATTTTTTGTTTGGAGAAGTTTTGTTGATTTCTTCGGATTTCGAATACTGTAACTTCTCTTCTATTTGGCCGATTTTTATGAATGAGACCTCTTTTAATTCGTGTTTTAACGGAGAGTATGGAAAAAATTGCTAAAAACTCGCGAAACAATTTTTTTTGAAAATTGGACGAATCCTAGCGTGACGGTGAAATGGTTAATGAAGCGTAAGTAATAGGGTGAGGGGCTGAGGATCCCGGCCTCGCTTGGCGACCGTCATTAGCTATTGTTCGTCGAGACGCCGACGCGACGCAGTGATCAGGAGCGTGGGGAAGAAAGGGGTAAGTGGATTCCTGTATGAGCCACGTTTAGCTAATGGTCTAATGAGTCTCGAGGCTCATCACAGATTGCACTTACACAGATTGCACTATCAGAGCACGGGTACCAACTTTTGAAAAGTATATTCGAGGTTACAGATCTGTCAAAGCACTTGAACAAAACGGAGGAGTTAAATTCTCATTCCGTGAGTGCCGACCTGCTCAGCCATTCTCGAATCAGTTCGCTTGATTCTGCTTATATATGCATATTTTAAATCAGCGCGTCGCATTCTTAGGCTTTTTTTAAAAAAACCAAGTAACGTAGACTCTTGGTATTCACTGCACATAAACTAATGAGCCCCAGAATGAGAAACAACTTTAAATCATAACTATTGATGGATAAATAAACTTTTTACACGCTTTGGAAAATCTCAGAAGTTCGCGGTAGTCACTTTTCGGTACGGAACTAAGGGACTCGGTTATTTTTGTTGTTTTGTTTTTGTCTGCCATTTTTTCATACGTTAAAGAACTACTTTTTGCGGAAAATAAAATGATATCTTTTGAAACAGGTTATCTTAGGGACGTTCGGGTGGTTGGATGAGCCTAACTGGATTTGGCGTAGCCAATTTCCTCTCAGGTTTCATTTCCTTGCGAAACAAGTAATCAACAGGACAATATATTAAATTTATTGAAGCTTTCAGTTGATTTCTTCTAAGTCATCAAGAAAAAATTATAAACATTTCAAAACAAAATCTTGATTTTTTTTTTTTTTTTTTTTTTTTTTTTTTTTAAGTGCAAAACGTTGAGTTTAGGAGGAAATACATCACAGCATGATGTTATTTGGCTATAATAGTTCTAGTCAATTGAGGTAACTATCAATATTTGGTTATAATTGATCTAGTCAGGCAGCAGTCACCCGCTAATCTTTCACTTTGATGGAGGAGTTTTTAAGACTTGGACCTGAGTGGGTCGCTATCGTCACCTAGGACCACGGAAAAATTTGGAAACCAAACAAAATAAACCGGGTCTCAATTTGTTTCTTTTCTAACCTTTTTCTTGAATTATTTTACTTTTAATTGTGTCTTTTTTTTACTCGATTCATATAGATCTTTTCCGTTATATTCTCGTAACAGGTAGGTGTATTTAATCACCTCCAAAATCTCCATCAACACAATTTTTTCTTCTGCGTCTGCTACTTTTAAAAAAATGCCTTATCTAACCGTGCATACTGTTTAGCTGGTTGCCCTTAAGGATTCGATTTTCAATCAGTGGAGTGGGAAAGACATCAGAGACTTAACGAACTATGATTTGGTCATGTTTAGAAGCATCATCTGCGCCTTCAATGCGACTGAAATTGGTTTGATACGTCCGGAGAGTTATAAGTAAGGACTGGCGTGATAATACTATAGGTTTAGTAACATGTGATACTAAATTAATGGCTAAAGTGCGACACCACGTATCTCCATTGTGGTGTCTCAAATTCTTCGATCCTATTTTATTTTTTCGAAGAGGGACAAATCAAATTTAATTATTGAATTTTGTACAGAAATATTCTACTAACAGAGAGGAAACATTAAAGGAGTTTTCATGAAATTACGTTGACTCGTTTTCCCAGGAAAAAATGAAGTATGGCTGGACGTCTAAAATGTCGCAAAAGGAGATATAAGTGGTTTCACACTTTAGTCATCGATGTGATTTATGCTGTTAAAATAAAAAATTTTACTGGTTTGTCTCCAGATGTGATAGTTTTCCGATCATAATTTTCCTCTAAAGAACGTTTCTTTTCAAGAAATCGGTGGGCGACATCGGTCTGACGAATAGGAGTAATCTTTTCTACTCGACGCTGGAACATATCCTCTCATCAATTCCATGCGATTTTGAAGAAATTTATTTTTGCGTACATGTGTCATTTATTAGTTATTAGGTATGAAATTTAACAGTGATTGAATGAAAAAATCGCAATCAAAAGTTGAGGTGTTCCAGCTTCAAAATACTTTCATTAGTGCTCACTCAGTAAAACTTGGAACTATTTAATGAATGCATTGGTCCTACGCGGAGAAAAAAACTTCGTGCGTGGGACCCGAAGTAGAGGTCATATGGATCTCTGAAGTTTTCGGATCGCGTATCCAAAAACTTGAGGTCGAGCTGCCGAAGTTCGGGTCGGACACCTGAAGTACTTCAATACATACCGAAGGGTTCGAGTCACACATCTGAAGTACCGCGGTACATACCGAAGTGCCTCGATGTCTGACCCGAACTTCGGCAGCTGGACCTCAAGTTTTTAAATACGTGAACAGAAAACTTCAGAGATCCATATGACCTCGACTTCGGGTTCCACGCACGAAGTTTTTTTCTCCGTGATATAAAACCTATTTTTGTAGTGAGGTTTAAACATACACAAAAAAAAAACCCTTCATCCAAGTATTCTATCATCTCTTGAGTCAGGAATGCAGCAAGTGAGTTAGGAACATTGAAGCAAGAGTGCCCAGTAGAAATAACAAAAAGCTTAGCTCAGTTAGCAACGGATCCCTCGGCCTTTGGTGACCCTTCCAGGTGGACTTCAACTCAGGTAAGGACCTCGCGCAATTCTTACTGCCGTTCTGGATTATTTGCTTTTTTCACTTAAAATAATAAAAGGGTAAAGTTCATAAATCTTATAAACACTTTATGCGCAAAAGATTTCCTCGGTAAAAGAATCCTCATAGAATCATGATAAATCGGAACAAAAGCTGTTTAAAAAGTTTGAATATAAAGTTCGCGTTTGTTATAAACGCAGTGTAAGACTTTGACAATTATGCGTGTCAAAGATGCCGATTCAAAAATTGTTGAACACTAATTATTTTGTGCTGGTGAAAATTTTCGTTGGTCACACAAATACAGTGAGCGAAGTTCATCTTACGACTGAATCACATTTTGCAATAAGGAACCACTATTTCTGGCCCATTTAAGAAATAGCATACATGCCATTGGTTTCCCTGCGCAGATATGTGCTTTTATGGGAGAGCCAGAGATAGTGGCTCCTTATTGCAAATGTAATTCAATTAGTGTTACAACGCATTTAGAGAGAAAAAGGATTTTTTCTACAACATTCTTACTTTTCCAGTCTAAGGATTGAGATTTTTGCAGCGAATGCAAAATTCCAAGGTCAATTATTAGAAATTATCAGTTTTTCATTTTTATCTTCTAATTGAATACTCTCCTCGATTTACAGGTCGCGGCAATTGGTTGTGTGATGACAGGATTGCGGACAGTTGAAGTCGTGCCAGCTAAAGCAATGGAGGGCATAAGCATTGAAATCCTTAACTGTTTACCGCCCAGGTTTCTAGAGGTTTGCTATTTCTTAAGAATATCACTACTAGAGTAGCTTTATGCATAATCATGAGAGTGTGAACACTGAACATCCATACTGTTTGCTCTCTCCTCAAAAAGACATGGCTAAAAAACGGCAGTAAAAATCACCAACATGTTCTGGGAGAATTTTTAGACATACAAGGCCGGATTTACCTCCTTACCGCCTGTTCTCATTCGTTTTGAAACATCAATAAAAGAAAAACCATCAAGTGAACGAGCCGGTGGTGGAGGGGTGCATGAAACGTGTTTACTCGTGTTGGACACATTTTTTGCGAGAGCCTTGTCAACAATACTAGCTAAAGTTCACGGAACTATTCACGGAAGTTAAGTTCCGTAAACCTATCTCTGTGTGGACAAGGCCTTCCATTTATAAGAAATGAACGAAAAATTATGAAAGAATAAACATAAATGTAGTTTAATAATCTTAATTTCCGCCGCCGCCGCGCCGTGCCGCGCTGACTGCACTGTGTTTGGCGCAATGCGTGAAGTATTCCCTCAGTCTTGTAGGCGCTATGCGTTTCACGCCGACCGCTGCTGACCGCACTAATTTTTGACGCAATGCGTGAAGTATTCATGCAGTCTTGTAGGCGTCATGCGTTTCACGCCAACTGCTCCTGACCGCACTGTGTTTGACGCATTGCGTGAAGTATCTATGCAGTTATGTAGGCGCTGAGATGTGTTATATGACGACCGCCGCGCCGAGGGCTTCTCTTTTTCATCTCAAGTCCTCGTCATCATTGCTCTCTGCGCCGCGCGCCGCGCCGTTCCAGGCCAGAGTGCGTGTTTGATTTGTCTCCTAACTCGACTAATTAAAGGTGCTGTCTTTTGTATCACCAAAAGACGACAAAATTAGAAATTACTATGCTCTCAGGACATGAGAGATTTTGTCGCCTTTTCTCGTTAGTAATTTTTTCTCTGAATCCGATTTTTTTTATACCAACATCTTTAAAAAATGTGAAATTTGCCGCCATGGGCCGCGGCCCATTTGGCTACCCCCTAAATCCGGCCCTGCGGACAAAACGGCTTAATGTACACAAATATTTGACACAAAATATGGCGTCCATCAAATCACCTCAAAACCTAAAATTTGTCAACTTACTTACTACAACTCCCGTAAATGCATCCTTCAGTTGGCTCTGTGCCTTGGAAATGTCAAATCCTCACTTCGGGTATCCGCCGTACTCCAACAATAGTGACTATAATCTCATTTTCAGGGTTTGACATTTCCGACAACTTGCACTGCTTGATAACTGGGTCACTTTTTTGCTCTCTGCTCGTAGCTCCGAACACCCTGCACGAGGCTGTGTAAGTGCAGCTCATTTTACGGGGGAAAAAATAATGGTTCCAGGAGCATATTCATTCAAATATGTTTATCCCTCCACCTCCCTCGCACGCCGCTCATCGTGGCAGCACGTCGCGGAGGAGGGCTGGGGGAGCAATAAAGAGGGATTATAACGAACACTTGGTCCACGCTTCTGTTGGTGGCGTCGCGTGCTTTGCGATATATCGATCGATCTTTCATTTAAAACCATCGAAAAAGATCGATTAACAGGTGTTCGCCACGAACACCTTAATAATCGATCCTTTAGCACAGCCTCAAGGGGGGGGGGGATATCGATAATCGAGCATTCAAGCCTCGCCACTGGCTTCTGTTACCTTGCTCCGCGAACCGGTGCTTTTCAATTAATTACCCTGACTTTGATGAACGGCTGCTGCGACAATTTCTGCAGGGAATCATAAAGACAAACATTATTTTCCATGTTAAGCTCAACGACAAAGTTTAGACGTTTACTGCGCGTTTAATTTGGGAATGTGCCCGCGCAATTCGGCTTGTTTCAATTTAAGTACACCTATAGTTGAAGGCCTCAGCTACGCTTCATCAAGGCTTATGTTCTGAAACTCTTAGCCAAGGTTGACGATTACTTTACCTGTCGCATTCGCGCTTTTGAGTAAACAAAGATAAGCTCTCGGACGCGGAAGCGACGTGGTGGATCGCCCGCAGGACGACTCAAATATCCAAATTTGAAACATTCCAACACGATCGCACTAACTAAAACAACATATCGTCACTTGCCGGCCAAAGTATCACAAGCGCCAGGCGATGATTAAAAATTTCCGCCGCCATTTTATTACTTTACAAAGAAATTATTCTTTGAATCTATTTGAAAATGCCTTTGAATTTTATTGTCAGCACAAAGAAAGTCCAGTGAAATTTTCGGACCGCTTCGTTGAACAATATTTCTCTGTAAAAGAATAATAAAATGGCGGCGGAAATTTTTAAACGTTGCATGGCGCTTGTGATACTTCGGCCGGAAGGTGACTATATTCAGGCAGTATCTGTAGGGTACCAATGATTTGTTGAAAACTCTTGACAACATCGAATCAGCTCTAAAACGACGATGATTCATAATGATGGTATTTTCAAGCAATAATCATTGAGTAATTTACTATTCTTTTTTAGGGTTGAGTCGTCGTGACCATGCAAGAAGAGTCTTGCCGTGATTATGATGGTGGAGTATTTTCTCAGTACATGCTTCGCATTTTTTTACTTCAATTTTCATTTGAGATTGAAAGAAATATATTTTTGAATGTTATTACTTACGTTGGTAAAAACTATTATTTCTGGTGAGATTAGCAATATGTGACAATCTATGCAATACTTTGTCTAAATTGGGAAAGTTTCATAGATTATATATTTGTCTGTAAATTCTCTCTCCGCTTCAGTTTAGTAAAAGTTGACTTAAACTGTTTCCTAAGAAACTTGCCCCTTTTCCCGGAAACTCAGGGAACTGGAATTTAAATGGACGTATTTCTGTCAAACGGAACTAAGCGCCATCGGGGGAGGAGGATAGAGGGAGGCTTAGATTGGCGGCGGAACCGGGCGTCGGGCTCATTCGTTCCTATACTCGCAATGTTTTTCCACGGCGCTTAGGTCCGTTTGACAGAACGCGCTATCCGGGATTCTAAATTCCTCAAAAGGAACTCAAATTGGCGCTTAGTTCCGTTTGACAGAAATCCGTCCAAATATGGTTGAAATGAAATTTTTTCTAAGAGAAAACTTGGTTTCGATTTGCTAAATTCGATCTGATTTTAAAGTAACCTTACTACTGTGATTAAGAGTAATATTTTCTCAAAATTAATCGAGACAGCAATCAAAATTGATGCAAATTTAACTTCTTAATATTGGATTGTCCAGGCAATGTCGGTGGACCAGCTCTCGCACTTCCCAGCAGCCACCGCGAGTTCCTTGTCGAGTCTCCAGAGCAGCGCACTCTCGTACCAACAGCGAAAAGCTCTCGATAGTGTAGCTGCCGACCTTACCTACAATGTGCCCTCAGCCTCCGTCAAAGTTCATCCGTTCCTCGTTTTGCCGCTGCTCGTTCCACATTTCTTGTTTCCAAATATACACTTTTAGTTCTTCCTACATTCGAGATTTCTTGAAATTTTTAAACTCCTAAATTGTTTCATATCGATGGTGAAACTGCAAAAATGCGTATATCGGTTGCGGTGTTTGAAAATCTCCGCTCCTATTTTATTTTTTAAAAGGAAACCGAACCAACATCGTGGCTTGAAATTTTCACAGAATATTCTTCCCATCGAGAAAAAAAATATCCGAAGTGCTCAATAAATGACTTTAAGTGGTTTGCCGTATGAAAAATAAAGTATGACAGGAAAGTTTGCAACGCCGCAAACCGATATACGCATTTCTGAAGTTTCGCCGTCAATATGTTCCTCTTTCTCAATTAACGGTAGCATAATTTGTCTCTGTATTTTACTGCACTGAAAAAAATACCGGCTTTGGAAGCCGTACTTACGGACCATGTGGACATACCGTCCGCACTCTGGGCTCAGATAACGAAATTCTCGGGTATAGCGCCCGGAGCAGTCAAAGTTACGGATCCAGCACCCGGAGCTTTCGGCCTCTGTGCCCGGAACGGATGGTATGTTTATTCTATATACTCTGTTACTTTATTTCAGTGTGTTACTTCAGTGTGTTATGCGATCAAGGCAGTCGATGGCTGCGATGAGAAACCACTTCGAATTACAGCGTTCAAAGTCTACGCAGAATTTCGAACAAATATTCTGTGAAACTATACCAATTTTATGATGGAATTTTTTAATGTCTTTGAAGAAGAAGGAACAGAAAGATTTTCCCTCGGACGATGGGAATGTCCGCCATGGGGTAGCCGAAGTTGTTTTTTAATGGGAAAAAAAGAGAAAAAGATAAAATAAAGGCAGATTGTTATTATTTATTTATTTATTTATTTATTTATTTATTTATTCATTTATTTATTTATTTGTGTATTTATTAACAGGAAAAGTTTGTAGATTTGATAGGTTTTCCCAAAATATTGAAAACTTGCGAGTTTTTCACCATAAATTTACAATACTTTACAAACTGTCAAAATCTGACTATCTGCTGAGGTATTTGATAAAATGACTGGTTAGACTAATTGCCTGCAACATATATACCCAAGTTCAATTTTTTGGACTTCTAAGAATTAGTACGAAGCAATGGTTATCAAGGGGAAAATAAGTTGTGAGATTAGTATTGCTGAGGGAGTTTAATAATTGATTCTCTACATGGACAGCCCAATCACCTTGCAAGGATGAAATTGATGTATAACAGAGAACAACATGGACTGGAAAAATAAAATACGAAGTACGAACCAAAAATTGCTAAATAATGGTTACGAGCTAAGGAAGGTGAGCGGTTAAGTTTAGGAGGATGAGATTAAGGGTAACCCGGAGGGGAGGGGGGAATAAGGGCGCTGCGTCGCACCTCGCACCAAGTCGATCAATGTTGACAGGTTTCACGATAAAATTGTTATATTTCGCATGGTTTTAACCGGAAAAAATGCTGATTTTTCAGCACAATATGGCATCAATGACTAAAAGGCCGCGGGAGGTGAAGGGTGAAAGAATTTTGTGCGAGCGGTGTTACTTTTAACGAATCGAGGGTTTCAAACGGCGCTTGAAGGCTCACAAATCATATAAGCGAGGAGTTTTCTTCTTCTTCTCCCTATTCCATTCTTGTAATTCTTTTCATTCCTCGTGGTGCAGGAGAGAGAGGCAAAAGGAGTTTTTTGCCGTTTATCGGGCTCTCCTGCGTCGAATGATTATTTATTTTCTCTTTTCATCCGTAAAAGTCAAAGTTGAACGAAATTTAGGTTGGAAGGTAGAGAACATGGAAACCAGTCCTCCGATGGAGTAGAACTGTCAATTCACACTGAACGTGTTACAATTAACACTGAAAAGGTAGAAGAGACATGGAACCCAGTGTAAAAACGGCACAGGTCTCTTTAAGAACCTTTTCTTTCACATTTTCTTTCAACCGAAATTAAAAGTATCTTATCGCCGGAAAGAATAATTTCCTTACTGATTTTGAGAGGAGTTTTTTCCTCAAAAGAAAAGGAAGGTAACTAGGTCAGCATACTTTTAACTTAACACTTTTTCACTGAACAATTCCATGAAAAAGCCCGAAGAGCCTATAAATTACTGACTTCCAGGATATTTTTGTTTGAATGTCATGCACAATAAAAAGAAGGTAAAAGGACGGGTACACACTTCTGTATTGTGTAATTGTGGATTTCAAAACATCCAAAACAGGCGGTTTACTCGCGTCTGACTGAGCGTGCTATATTAATCAACACTGGTAAAATTCCATGTAAGAAAGCCTCTGTAAAGAAAGAAAGAAAAAAATTATAAAATTCTCAAAAAGTCAGGTACTCATTAGAATTTAACCCTTAGATGTTCATTGCCCAATGTAGGTCAAATTGACTCGAGGCTTGCAGTGACGAAGCGTGAACGATTGGCTATCGATATTTCCCCATTTGAAGCTATGGTGAAGAATCGATTATTGAGGTGTTCGTTGCGAACAACCTGTCTATCGATTCTTTTCTATAGGTTTAAACGGCAGATCAATCGATAGATCGCAAAGCACGCCACGCTACTGGAGGCTTGCTAAAAACACATGCCCCGAGGGTCATGCGGGGCCGGTGAATACGAGCTATAGATGTAGGTCTAAAATATATCCTAAAAAAGAATCAAATACGTCAAATTGAAAAAAGGAAATAATCTAGTGTTAACACAACAAAAGATAGGAGAGACGTAATCGGACCTCGTTCTTCAACTTTTCTCCCGAATCTGAGAAACACCTCATTAGCAGCAAAGAGCGGAACATTGCAAGTTTATGCCGCGTGCCATCGCGCCTTCAATTCTGCAGATGCAGCACGTATATCCATCAGGTACGAATAGTTGTATCTCTGCGCCGTCATCAACGCGCGTTAAGATGTCACTTATTTTTGAATTTTGAGGAAAGTGAAGGTTAAGTGTACTTAAAATTTGATATGATGTGTCCAAATCAACAATTATTTGACCCTAAAGAAATGTTTAGAGATCTCTACATTGCTCTAAAGTGTGCACGCCTAAAAATTGGTATTTTGGCGAGAGTTGTGTTGTGTCAATGATTTATTTTACTTTCTTTTCTTTTATTTTCTTTCTTTATTTTTTTTACGACTGCCCCTAGAAATCCCAAGTCGGGTCACATTGACCCGATTTCCTCCTCGGAGGGTTACGCAAGGCGGATGAAGAGGGGGGTGAAGGGTGAGAAAGCGCCAATAAGTTACCAACTTGGGATAGCCCAACTTGGACTTCGCGTATAAAAAAGTATTGGACATCTAAGGGTTAAACGGGATAGCGACGTCCCACGTCCCAATTTAATACGGTCATGCATACGTAAAATAAATTCGAAATTTTGTATTCTAATTTATGCGAGGAATTTCAGTTGATTATTTTCAAAGGGCAGTCTCAACAAAAATCTAATATACATAAAAATGGTAACCAGCAGAAGAAAAATTAATGTAACTTCATGTCATACAAAGTTTCCGGTCCGGGATACTCGATCCTACGTGGCAACTGGGCCTGAACTCGTGTTTTGGAAGTGAGCTTATGAAGTTAGCTCCGAAATCTTCGAGATTGATGCGGAGAGGAGAGAGTAAGGACGATCATTCTATTTACATCAAAGGGTTTCCCCTCCGAAGGAAAACATATAACGCGAAAAGCGAACGCTTTTTTCAAAAGTAAAATGTCTTCAAATAAAAACTTTGAGAAGAAGATACGCGGAATGTGTATTGCAAACGATGCAACGAAGAAAATATATGTTTAAAATTCAGAACCCTGCAACCCTCGGCAGGCTCCTACACGGAAAAAATGATATTGCCGACTTAACAAAGTTGTAGTTAAAGATATCCGACATGTTTCAATGTAGATCTCACAATGAAAAAGTGCTAATTCAACCACCACCGTACTGCTGTGATAGCGAAGAGAGCCGTAACGGCAAAAATGAAGTTCTGAGAAAACGGGCTCAGAAGCTTGTGACCGGAACATTTTATTGAAAGAAGCCTCCGTTCTTTGTCAAATTGCCACTATTCGTCCGGAAGACTCCTAGAAATCATTTGGGGGATTAAAACTCGACCGATTTTATTTTAAAGTACATGAAAAAGGTAAAATTCAGTTTCGTGTTAGGTTATTGTTGGGCAAGACAGCCGTAAGTGCTATCTTCTGCATGCTTTCGTGGTTGCGTTTTGGACGCACAACAAACACATTTTCAGGTTGGAAATTGACAGAAGAGGGTGGCACTTTACTGGGAAGCACTGTTTTCATTGGCTCTCATGCACCTACGGCTGTCTTGAAAAAAACTATAGTCATTTTTTGTGCACTTACGGCTTTCTCATTCGTCTCGTTTTCATTAAATTGGGATGAATTTTGCTATTTTCGCTGTTTCAGTAATTTCATCTAAAAGAGTTTAGACGAATTTTGAAGAAAACTCGATTTCGAAAATTTTGCACTTACGGCTCTCTTCGCTATCACGGCAGCGTAGTTCAACTAGCCTTTCCATTATTGTAAAATGCACACTTGAAACATGTCGAACACATTTTTTTAACAATTTAATCATTAAATCAGCTATCAATTTTTTTCCGTGTAGTTCATCGTTGATTTTCTCTACCACTTCTCCACTCGGGAAGTTTGTTTTTTCTTTCGTTTCGTTCATTAATTTCTCCTCCCCCTGAGTCCTCTGAGTAAAACGCTAGTACGTTTCTCAGAGCCAAGAGGAATGATCTCTATTTTAACGTGTAATCTACGGGGGAGCTGGAAAATGTATCACTGCTGTGTAGGTATAATAAATACTCGTTCCCTTAATCACGAATCATTATTTTCCTTTTTAGTCGTGCCCCATAGCGAGATTTCCACTCAAACCTCTTTTGGGCCTGGGAATTTGACATCATTCATAAAGATTTTCATCTTCGTATCCTGCTGACATTGAACATGCCAAGTCCATTAAAGGATGGAGTCTCTTATTTTTCATTCACTAAGCTTTTTACCTCCGTCCCTTATTCTGCTTTAGACTCGGTA